ACACACACACACACACACACACACACACACACACACACACACACACAGACCAGTTGGACAGTGGAGCCGATTAACATTTTTGTGGTCTAATCCCCTGTCTGTTGTCATTCCAGATCTTCGGATCCCCCTCATGTGGAAAGATACGGAGTATTTCAAGAACAAAGGAGGTGAGGAGTCACCTTTTGCGTGAGAAGAAATTCATAGATGGCTTATGAATGATTTATATTTGTAGATTTTATTAAGAATTGCTATCTGAGGTGTCTGTAGCATCACACAGTAAAACGGTTGATTAAAAGATACTGAATGTGTTTTTTGGAAGGGTTTTCAGACTATGTGAATTATCCTGTGATTTCAAACATAAAATCAGATTCATCAATCATTTAGGACTGTTAGATACTTTTTAATTGAGTAGATATTAAAGTGTCCAGCTCATTTGGGCAGATAGAGGATGCAGATTGGCCATCTCACTGATCCTGGAGCAGTTTTGCGAGTTATCTGTCCTTTATTTGACCTGTTTTTTAGATTCGTGACAGTTCAGTCTTTTTGGCTTTGCTCCCTGGCTGTGAAAAGCACAAACATAATGAGTGTTTTAACAGGAAATATCGTGAACTGAACACAGATGAAGTCTATTTTGCATTTAAGAAAACTAACTTCATATTTTCTCCTCTGGAACATTTCTGGCCAGACGCATACAAATGTCTTGATTAAGTATCTTCAGGATTAAGTGGTGAACTGCAGACCCTTGTAATTTTCCCACCATCTTGATAAAGTTCATCTTCATTAACCCCTGCACTGCCTTTATGAGAGTCTTGGTGCTCCCCCGACAGCTTGAAGAGAATTCATCTGGATGACCTGTGCATACAAATTAACTCTTAAGGCAGGTAGTACACCCTTAGCAAAGCTTAATGAGGCTGTTCGTCAAGGTCCTTAAACACACCAAGGCATAAATTGAACCCAGGAGGCAAAGAGGAGTAGAGTTGTTGTTTTTTTCTTTTTACTCTCTCACTTGTCCAACATGGATCTCATCAAAAGATTAAAGCTCACGTTTGGAATTAAAGGTTAACGCTGTGGTACATGCACCATAGTTAACCTTCTGAATAAGAAATAATTCCCATTATAGAGTTTATATAACTTGACAGTGCGTAGCCCAGAGTACGCATTTTACACCTGCCCTGTTCTGACTCAAGGTCATGCATGATGTTTTACAAAAATGCCAAAAAAAATGATATAATTGGGTGAAAAGGTTGTGTAAATGCTCACATTATGAAACTAAAGAGGGCATTTTCCACAGAAATGAATGTGATTGTCGCTTCCTCTAAATATGATTTCATCCATGTTAAGGTAATCAGTTACTGAAATGCAGGACCTTTGCAGTGTATTTAAATGCAGCTAATGTGACAGTACAGAAAATAATTATCTGCTGTCTTAAGCAGATCAAAACCTGACTTGCATCAGAACATGTTAGTCTGACAAACGCTTAACAAATCCAAGCTCCGTCAGGCGTAAGTACCTGGTTAGAACAGTTTGTATGAACTTTATGAATACATATCCTCTGCATATCCTCAAGTGGGTGTAGAATCTTTTAATGTTGTCTAAACACCTTCTGACACAACATTTATGATTATTGCGATTTGATTTTACCAGCAAAATCTCCCCTTAATGATCCATTCGTATTATTCGCACAGCTTACCACTGAATTGAAACTAACAATGACAGAATTGTTTGTGTACCAGATGCAGGATCTGCATAAAAACCTTATCTTCAGTAGCCTCTGGCTTCAACAGTTATTTACGCTGAGACTTCATTTATAAGCTTCTGCAACTGATTGAAAGCATTTGCAATTGGTCATAAATGTAATTTCTCCCAGGTTTTGTTTACTCCTTTTTCTCCAACCCTCCATTTTGTCTTTTCATAGAGCTTCATCGGTGTGCTGTGTTCTGCCTCCTGCAGCTGGGGGGACAGATCTTCGACACAGACATGGTGATAGTGGACCGGACGCTCACCGATATCTGCTTCGATAACACGATCATATTGTGAGCTATTTCCCTTTCCAATGACAAAGCATCTCTGTCTTCACCTGAGTCGGAGTGATTCAAATGTTCCGGAAGTGCAGTTATATCCTTGTGTTCTGATACTTGTGCAGTTTTAAAGAAAAGCATAACAGTTCTATGCAAAATCTTCTTTTAAAAAGAAGTTCAGTAAGTTGCAGCAGTGGGAGCATAGTGCCATAATCGGCTACTTTCCACTGCTGCTTTCAAATAGCATTTGCTGAAATGGTTGTTGTACATCTCTCCTTGTGCAGTAGTGAAGCCAGTCCGGGTTTTCAGCTGCGTGTTGAGCTGTATAGCTGCTGCTCAGAGGATGACTACTCTGCTGGAAGCACACCGAGGAAACTGGCAAGCAAGCTCAGCTCTTCACTTGGGCGATCAGCAGGGAAGAAGCTCAGAGCCGCCATGGAGCCTGGACCATGTAGTCCTGTCAGCAACGGGGGGGCCACTCCTCTCCTTCTGCCCGTTCCCTCCGTACCGTACGTTTGCTCGGATATCATTTCTGATTTAAACGCATGTGGGCATACATATAAAATGCCTCTCTGCCTGTAAACATGAAAATAGCCGACTTTGTGTTTAAAAAATGGACTTACTTTTTCTTCCCTTTTTATTTCGTGCCTAACAGAGGTCCCAAGTATCACCTTTTAGCGCACACGACGCTGTCGCTGACACACGTCCAAGACAGCTTTCGCACGCATGACCTCACCATTTCAGGCAACGGTGAGTGGCAGCCGCCATCAGTCTGTGGCCTCACCAGCTTTCTCTCCCAGATAGGCCATCTGTCTCTTTTTTTCCCCCTTTTTTTTTTGTCTGTCCTTCCCTCACTTATCACTTTTTTCTCCTGGCAATCAAACGCTTTCCTTCAAACCAGCACATGGTGCACGTCTTTTCTTCACTCTCCGGTGTCCCAATGTTCTGTGACAGGTAGCCATTTTCAGTGTCACAATAAGAAAGGCTGCGTAAAGCTGTAATGATGTGGGGTAACGAGGGGGCCACACTCCAGAGACAGACAGGCTCCTTTTGTTTAATTCATTGACCCCACAACCTGCTGTAAAGTTTCATAGCCGGATTTCACGACACTCCCCGCAGCTGCCAGCTTTTTACACCGGAGGAACCTGCTTTGTGTGTTAATGAAGAGTGGTGTGGTGCGGACATGAAGAGTATTGTCGGTGTGCATGTAAATGGCCGCATGTGCGTGTGTGTGAATTTTTTCTAATGTTGGAATATTTTATTTATTCATCCATTTCCTTTCCGTCCCCTCTCTCTCTGTGTAGAGGAGTGTTCGTACTGGCTGCCTCTCTACGGCAGCATGTGCTGCCGCCTCGCTGCTCAGCCCCACTGTATGACCCAACAGATGATGACTGGATGTTTGAAAGTGAAGGTGAGTGGGGCGGGTGTTCACACGACTGAAGTGAGGTATTTCTTTACGGGTCTCGCAGGCTTTTTGGCTTTGCTTCTGACTTTGGTCCTTTCCTCCCCCCGCCCCTTCTCTTCTTCCCACCTTATACCCTTTTGGGCTATTATTTACCTCGCAGCAGTGTGGAGGTGACCATCAGAGTTGGACTAAAGTGTATGCTGTGCTAAAAGGAACGAGCCTTTCCTGCTACCAACAGCAAGAAGATGTAGAGGCGAACGTGGAACCGGCTTTCACCATCGGCATCAACAAGGTAAGCAAAAGAATGGATTTAAGTCGGATCAAATCAGGTAAAAAAAACCTCCTCCAGTTTGAACAGAAATGAAACGCGTGTGGATTTAGCAACCCTTAAGGCGAAGCAGAATAGATGGTAAGGCTTTTGAATTGCTGCCAGTTTGAATCTCAAGCCAACTACGTTAGGCCAATCCTGCAAAACTATCTCTCTCCTAATGCTTCACAAGCTTCCCCTGAGCAAGAAGCCCGTCCTACCCCGATGGAGCTACTAAAAAGGTTAAGCTTAAAAAACCGCAATCGTTTGCCAGTTTCTCAGACGGGAAAAAACAAGCATGTGTTTTTCTAAAAGATAGAAGAGAGTAAAACACCTATTTTTGGTGTCACAGAGTTCAAGCCTTTGAGCCTTCTTGTTACTTCCGCAGTGATTCATTCTGTTATTTGTGGCGTCTGACCCTCGGCGTACAGGTAACCAAAAACGAGGTCTGTCAGATCAAGTCAGTGCAGTCAGGTCTATCCGAGAGGCTCCAGCAGCTGCTAGATAAATGGAACAACACCACCTTCTAGTGGTCACAAAACATACTAAGGTCCTCTTGGAGTGGAGTGAGGAGGTGGGAATTGGGGTTGCTCTTTTTGTTGAATAATTGCTGAAGGGAAATGGTTTGGAAGAGGACTAATTGGTAGCTTTATTAACGAGGGCTTATTTTCAGTGGGGATTTAACAATTGCAATTGCGGTAATGAGCAGTTGTCACAGCACATAATTTCATTCCTTCAGGAGCTCGGGCTCTGCCGGCCAGCAGTGGGCATGTCGTGGCAGATGATTACCAGTGTTCTCTGTTGCTGTATCGTTTCAGGAAACCAGGATACGTGCATCAGAGAAGGACCCTCACAGTAAAGTTCAGAACATTTGCATCAGTAACCAGTATGGAGGGGAGGAGGTCACGCACACGCTGACCGCAGACAGCCGGGAGGACACTCACCGTTGGATGGAGGCATTTTGGCAGCATTTCTATGATATGAGTAAGTGCTGACTACGCTGTAGGACGTAATGTGGTATTCACCCACCACATACAGGAAACTCACACATTTACCGTCATGCTTTTAGAAATCTGACCTGTCGTTCCTTTAAACAGGCCAATGGAAGCAATGTTGTGATGACGTGATGAAAATTGAACTCCCATCACCAAGGAAACCGGCACCACTCACACCAAAACAGGGCTCTCTGTATCATGAAATGGGTACGTCCTCTATCTGATTCTGCTGATGTTCAATTAAAAAACAGTAGTTTTAATTCTGCTGGTATGCAGAGGAAAAGAAGCGCACTGCATGTGACTGTGTGTACTTTTAATTACTTTAATGCATGTGCATGAAAGGCTCGGTCACAATTACATTTTCCTCTGCAGTTTGTCAAACTCACACTCTGCTTTACCTCTCTGTTCTGTAGATTAAGGGGGTCTCATCTCTGAAGTGCTGACTCACTCTCTGTCTTCTCTTTCTCTCTTCCTCTTTGTCCTCTTTACTTTTCCCTATGTGACCTGACTCCACCGTGCATCGTTATTTCATTTTCTGTCCTTCCTCTTACTTTCTGTGAAATCATTTATGCTTTACACGTTTATCAACTTTCATTGTCAATTTTGCTTCATCCTTGAATGAGTCTTTTGCTTTTCTTCTCTCGTCATTCCATTAAACACTCAAATCCTTATTTGTTTTGTTTTTTTCACCATGAAAAAAAAAACACCTCCCTCCCCACCCTTTTCCCCTTTGCCCTTTTCGGTTATGGTTTTCCTAACGCTCCTTGGCAGCCCCTATTGCCTCACCCTCCTGTGAGGGTCTTCTGCTGCAGGATAACGCTGTGTCTGCTGAGATTCGTGCTCTGCTCTCATCCTATTACAACGACAGGTGAAGTAGCAGGTGTAGGGCTTCGTATGCCTTATGTTGCCGTTGCTAGAGGTCAGATTCGATTAGAACAATAGGGATCTGTTTCCGCCTCATGCCATGGTGATGCAGCAAAACAGCACTAGATGTTAGAAGTGTGCTTTATCATACAATCAGCACTCAGACACACCCATAGTAGATTCTACATTAACTTAAGATGTTAAGACAAGTTATTCTATATGACAGGTGCATGACTTTGAAGAATGAGGAAGAATATAAACACTTAATGTAATTCTTTGTGTTTTCATCCTTATAAACTCAAAATTATCAAATATCCTGTTTCAGTTTGAGTACTTGTATTTTACAAATTTCAGCCATGTCTCTAAATCTGCATAGTCTGCACTCATGAGTGGGCACAGGGCAGCAATTTCAATGTAATGACTTGTATCGAGTGTAAATTACATAAAAACATAAAAAATCAAATGAAAATCCTCTGCAAATCTGATGTGAGACCAGCTCTCCCGCTGCATAGTAAAGAGCTTTGTTGCTTCTCCCCTGCAGTTATTGAGTCGTCTGACGACCTCAGCACAGTGTCGGACATTTTGGCTCGGCGGATGCAGGAGCTGGAGCTCCGCAGCCAGCTGGGCACCGCTTCCGCTTGGATGTCTATGTTTGAGGAGAACGGCGCGAAGGGCGCCGGCTTCCGTCATCACTGCACCTCTCATCTGTCCGGCCGAAGCCCCTGCACTCCGCACCGGCTGCCCCGGAGCCCCGCCAGCCCTCGCCGCTGCCCACAGCTGGCTCTGCAGTCCTCGGACGCCAGCCTGACCTCGGACAGCGACAGCCACTGTAGCACCAGCCCCTGCTCCCACCACCACGGCTGGCCCGAGCCCTCCACGAACTTAGCCCACTTGTCCTCATCCCCCTCCCGTCCCAGGCCCCGCACCTTTTCACTGGACGCTAAACTGAGCACTCTTCGGGGGAGGGGTTACGTGGGAGGAGGAGGAGGAGGAGGGATGTTCCAGTGCTCCTGCCAGCCTCCTCCCTCGTCCCTGCTCACCCCCCTCCCCGTCTCCTCCCGGTCGCAGCACAGCACGCAGACCACCCTCTCCTGCTCCAGCTCCACGTCCAGCAACAGCTCCAGCAACAGCGAGGGCAGCCACAGCCCGGAGTCGTCCGAGGGAGCCCCCTTCTCCAGGCCGTCCCCGGCCCGACGCAGCCTTAGGAACCTCCGAGCCAGACTGGATCCCCGTAACTGGCTTCAAAGTCAGGTGTGAATTTTGTTCCCGCACAGACGTTTTTACGTTTGCGTAAAGGCCTCGGTTGTGGTTTAACTGGCTTAACTGAACTAAACTCAGGCTCAAACTGCTCAGCCATGTGCACATCGCTGAGGAAGATGACTCAAACTTGTCCTTTGACGAAGAATGAATTAACAAGGCCCCCCCCCCCGGGCCAAACGGGAATGCCCTCTCAACACAAAAGACTGGAGATGATCACTGCTGGAGTTGGTGGGTGTCCACAGTTTGAAAATGGGAGGAGCTCTCCTCGTCCTCAGAGATGATGGTTCTGCTGCTTGGGAGAAAGTAAAGTTTAAAAAAAAAAGCTAAGGACAGGCGTGGATACATACAGTGATATACTATATAAATGTTTTTCTCTGAAATCTAACTTTGAAACTGGAAAAGCTTTCGTTTTGCTCCGTGCATCTATCATCCCGGCCACACGTTACTATGCTGTCATCCCTTTCAGTTCACCAATTCTGTTTGGAGTGCATACTGTGTAATTCAAATTTGCGATGTTGATACATTGAGATCACTGGCATGAAGCTAAAAAAAAAAAAAAAAGCATATGGCATAGTCAGCCAAAAGTCAAATGCAAAAAAAACAAACAACTGTGACACGCAGAGGGAAGGACTGGTGTTCATTACTGTTACACCTGCCTCTGTGTGCTGGTCAGCACACGGCCTATGTGAGCCCCCTGAACAACTATGCACCATTTAGTTTTTATGCATGACTTAAATTACAATTGAAATGTTGAACTTGAGTAATTTTATATCTGGTGAAAGCTCAACTTAATGCAAGCATCCATATTTACTGTACTGCTATAACTGTGATCTCATCCGGGTAAAAACCTGTTCTTTGGTCTTTAGGGCTCTTATACACCAAGCAAACAAACAAACAGCCATCAGGAACATGTGGTGTGTTCTCTTTTGCGTTTGCGGCGTGTTATTTGCCGTCGGGTTGGTCACGTGAATTAGATTTTCGGCTTAAAGACTGATTTCTGTAATAAGCTCATGTGACTTACCTTCACATCCTCATGTTCTCATCACTGATGGCCATCAGAACAAAAAAATTAAACCCTTGCATACAAAAGATGTTTTAACCAAAGCTTAACTAGTATTAAAAATGTAAGCCATACTTAAAAATTCTGCTACTCACTGCTGTATTGTGGGCTTTCATTGTATAATGACTCCTACTTATGTGAATACTGATGAATGCACAACATTTTTCACGACCATACCATAAAAGAAATAATGAAATTCTTTTTGTTGGGTGTATCATTGAAAATTTAAATGAAGCCGCATACACAAAACTCTTGTCAACCACCGGTTTAATGATTGTTTTCATTGCCACCTTTTTTTCCTTACTTTTGCTACAGTTGCCATGTTGGAAATCTCACAGCAGTAACCTCTTTAATACAAGAAGCAAATCAGACATTAACAGTGTCCCTTGTTTAAAGCATTGAAGCCTTGTTTCCTGTTTCTGTTGTTTATTGTGGACTTTGAAGACGTTACCATCCTGGGAATGAAAATTCATTTTTACTAAGAGTCGTCTCACGCTTTAAAAAAACAGCCTTCTTTACTGTAAGTCAATTTTTATAAGTTAACAGATAAACATCTTTCTCTTTTGTTACATGATTGATTTTTTTTTAAACACAGCTGCATTGAACCGTGATTAGCATAATATTAACACACAACATGCAGATCTTTAACCGTTAGGAATAAATAACATTGAATGTTATAAGTATGCGAGTCACCCTTGTTAGCAGGCATTGAGTTCTGCATGTACACTATAAAAAGGCAAACATAAATTAAGAAATGTGGGAGTCTCATGTTTTAATAATATGACATGAATAATTATAATAAATGTTTTATAAACCTACAGTTTGCTTGTTTCTTCCACATCTGTATTTGTCCGTTCTACAAGAAATACTATCTGCTCTGAATATTTTCTGTAAAAGTTTTATTGAATAAAAAAAATCTGTCATTGCTAAGTTTAATGTATTTCAAGAAGACTGCAGATCAAATTACGCTGTAACTCTTAGAAGAATTTGGAAGACAAGACTTTGAAGCTTTAACTCAGAGAAAGGGGTTGAAACTCCCCGTGTCTTCATTCTAATTAGTCAAATTTGAATCAAATCCTCCCTTCTCCCATCCCACCTGGATTACCACAAACACTTTCACAAGCAATGTCAGAGCTTTCCAACAGCTCAGGAATGGCCTTTAGTACGCCAGACTTCAAACTTGTAATCAGTCACACACTGCTCTCCGCTTATTTTTCTCCTGTATAAAAAAGAAAATCCCATTATAGAGGCCCACAAACGCAGTGCTGGAAAGGGATCATATAGGCAGGCATAACGGATATTTTATTGTCAGTGTTTTTATAGCAAAGCCGTAGATTAGTCAATAGTACAAAGCACTTTTACAAACGTAGGAGGTAGTCAACACTGGGTCTTCACTGAGTGTTGTAATGTGCATAGAGAAAAAGCTATGGCCATACTGACTGGTTTTAACCCAAAGCTCCTTGTTCTGTTTGTAGAGCACAGTTGTACCATTCTTGTGCTATTATAACTTCACATCTGCATAAAGTATAAAACCATACATCTAATATTATACCGAGACGTACATACATACATGTATTGATCAATAAATAATAACACCTCTAAATACTTTATATATTGAATGCTTCATTTGAAGCTGATTATTGACTTCTGTAACCCAGCAGGAATTTTACAACAAGTTTGGCAAATTTGAGAGTTTTGTTGAGTTACATAAGTGAATGAACAGCATTACGTCACACCCACCCCCTCCGTTATTTAGGTCTTCAGTGTTCAAACATCTCTTGTGCTTTTTCCCCACTCAGTGATCCACTCTTACTACCAGGCACATCGAGGGTTGGAGGCCCGCAGCGCCATGCCGGCCAGTGTTCTCCAGGCAAGCGTGGAGACCTTTGCAGGGCATGTCCCAGCTCTGGCCACGTACGAGGTGGCAATCCGGTTGAGCCGCTTTGCACCGAAAGTGTTGTAGTGCCCGGGAAGTACTTGGTCAACCTGGTGGATTGTACAATTATTAACTCACTGAATTGAGGAGCAGTATCCAGTACTTCTGGATTGATATCTGAACTGTACAATTTTTTTTTATGTTGATGGTTAATATCATAATTTAACTGAGTGAAAACATATAAATTATGAATATCATGGAAATGTATTAAATCTTATCACAGTAGTATGCTGTTTGTATAAAAAATATATCAAAAGATATTATTTGACATCGTGTACAAAGGTTGATTCATCTGAAAAAGATTCATTAGAAAAAAAGGGGTATGGTAAGTCTACCCTTTACTGTGTTTCCATTTTACCTGTTCGCTGTCCACCAGCCCCACCAGACGTTCACAGCTGCTGATGTAATCGCTGACCCGGCTGTAAGGCAGCCAGTCTATCATGGCACCATCGTACACCACATCGCCGCTGAAGAGCAACTTGTTGTCACGGTCGTGGAGGCAAATGCTTCCTCGGGAGTGACCAGGCATGTGTAGCACTGTCAACTGTCTGTCACCCAAGTTAATGACATCACCTAGACAGGAGAAGGAGAAAGGGAATTGGAACCAAGTTTCTTCTGGAGTTTTACCAATAGAGCAGTGCACAACAAACTGTATTCGTATTGCTTTTATGCAGAGCCTGGAACATCCTCTTTGGCATTGATTTGTTTCAAATCAGGTATGAGGGGCACAGCGTGACAAAAGAATGATGGCAAAAACAAGTAATGAGATATTCCAGCTGCACTGCAGCAGTAGTCCTGACACAGCAGAACAAGTCGGAGTATTGACTGCCATAATAGAAATAGTGATGTAAAAATACAGAGTAGACAGGTTGAGGATGCGATTTGAAACATTTTCCAAAAGCCAAAGCTGCCCTATTCAAATGAGACACTCTGTATGCGGGTGTTATATAGAGACAATTTTCTTTGTGTAAAAATTGACAAGAGGTGCTGACAGTATGAGAAACAGACGAATGGATGGATGTCTGGTTTTAAACATCAGGCAGTGTTTTTGAATGATTCGGTTCAGACAGATTAGACACTTTTGTGTATCTCATCAGACAAGAAAGACAATATTATTCTACACTTATCGGAACATTGTCAGACAGAATTATTGGCGATGGCTACATCAGTGCTATGTGTTTGCTTCTTCTTTGAAGAACGCTTTCTGTAGGCCAGCCTCTTGCAATGTCTGTTTCCTTCTTTGGAAGGTACACAATCTGACAAAGTCATCAGCTCATTGGCTAAAAATAGAAGAGCTATGTAGATGAAGAATTGAGGCAGTATCTACAGGTCAACATAGTGTCTATACTCACAAATTATACATCTATTGTGGTCTGACTGCCATGCAGGGCTTATGAAATGGAATATCTAGACATGCATAGTCCATGAGAAGTAATAAGGTATTTATTTCTGACAAAAAATTGAGGACCCTAGCTTAAATTGTAAGTTAAAAAACATTCCTTGTGACATAAGATATTCATCACAAAAAAATAATCTAATGGTACGGTTACATCTATACATCTTCTTGCACAGGTAACACCTCTGTGGAGAGTGTGCAGGTGAGTGCAGCCTCATTCCAACTGTCATTTGGCTAATTTAAGGCAGAGAAATAACAGCCACAACAGCAGGGCTATTCATTCATTAATCAATAAAAATGGCATCAACAGTAATGAAACATGGTGCGTTTCTGTGGGTAAGTCATGCCATACAAGATGGACTTCTGATCACATAACTGCAGCCCCCCCGGCACAAACCCGCCCCCTGCCTACCCTCCTGCAGGATGTGCGTGGGCTGCACAGCCTTGACTTTGTAGTTCCTCGCCCTCCATCCTGGGCTGGGAGCCTCGACTATCTCCCTGTCGCTGAGCCAGGTGACCGTCTCGAAGTTGTCTCCGTTGGCCAGGGCATCGACCTCTGCGCTGTGGACGCCCACCTGTTGGAACTGATGCAGACCCCCGGAGTGGTCGAAGTGGGCGTGGGTGGCGATGGCCAGCAGCGGGTTCTTCCTCTGCGGGTCTTTTCCCAGCAGCCCCTTGGAGTCGATGTAATCAGGTAGGCTCCTCAGACCCAGACCCGTGTCGATGACCACGTCCTGGTGTGTGCCGCGGAGCAGCCAGATGTTGGCCCGGTTGTCCGACTGGTAAAACCTCTCCTGGATCCAGAAGAGTCCGTCTCCGAGCGATTTGTGAGCGTACCAGTCGGCCGCAGACATCCCAGGTCATGCGCTGGTGCAGGTGAGCCTCAACGGGGGTCGCGCTGTCCGGGGGGATTGGGCAGAAAGCTGTTGCTAGCCTCAAAGCTAAGCGCGATATGTTTTCATTGAGGCTAATGCGATGGTGGCCGCCGACACACCCTTGCTGGGAGAGAGCGTCTTGATTGGACTACGGAACGAATGACAACATCTCAAAGAGGAGATGTGGTTGGCTGTAAATAAGCCCCGCCCCCTTTGGACGCTGGGCGTGGGCGGAGCTATTTAAAGGCACATTTTTAGAGCTGACTCGTGGTTTGTAGATAGTACACACGTTCCACTGACCGGTGTTAGCAACAACATACAAACTAGTCGCAGGTTTTGTCGTGTTTATATGAGTTTAGGAGCTTTTTTGGTTTAAGTGAACGTGTCAAACGACAGACAACACTGATATGTATCGATATGTACGGTGACAAACTAGGAGGTTCTGTTAGGACTTAATGTCGTAACCGTATCATAGTAACGGATTGTACATCTCCACGTTAACAGTTCACTAACAGTTCTCAAGTGAGTTTCAAAACTTTGTACCCGTGTGCCTGTGAGGTATTCTACCAGTGCTGACTAATGCTGCGTTGTTGGCAAAACCCCATACAAGCAAATTAAAGCCGCACCGCTGTCAACACGTGTTGGCCGGTGGGGCTGACCGAGGGCATGTGGACTCTGTGTTGCAGACCCCCGCAGCCATGGCCGGCAAGGGCCGGGGAGTGGCAGCCTTCTCCTTCAACATTGAATCTCTGGGCATCGGCAGGGGCAACATGCCAGAAACCAGGGTGGGGCCTACCCCGTTGTTTCCAGTAAGTACCAGCCAGACACACACACATACACACACACACAAACTATGAGCCCACTATGATGACCTCACTATGTAGTAGAGTCAATTAACCAACCACAGTATATGAAATTAGTCAGAGGTGAAAAAACTGATAGATAGATAGATAGATAGATAGATAGATAGATAGATAGATAGATAGATAGATAGATAGATAGATAGATAGATAGATAGATACTGCTTGGCAGACTGGATTTTTGTTTGGTTTGCACTTTCATTTTCTTTCTATCAATCCATAAACGGTTTGGACCGATTTTGTACTTGAGCATAATTTTATTCTTGGCAAGATGCTATTGCTCAATAGTTTGAATAAAATGCTATTTGTTCCTCTTGAAGTGTCTGAATAGCTTAATAAAAGTAATGTTTTTCAGTATGCAGTTGCAACTGTCATATGCAACAAATTGTGTATATAAATATAAACTATATTTTTCAAAAATCTCCGAATGACTCTTGTTGTTTCTCCTCCAGAATACTGAGTTCAAACCGGTTCCACTGAAGGTTGGCGAGGATGAGGACTACATGCTGGCCTTGAAGCAGGAGATGAGGGGAACAATGCAACGGCTCCCACACAACATCAAAAGCCAGTCCGGCAAAGCAGGTGAGGAGCAGAGTGGTGCATTAGCAGCCTAACAGCTCAAAGAATTGCTATAGTGGGACAATTTGAGCGGCTATTAGGAAGGATAATGTAGCTTTAGGAAGTGAGACAAAAGTGGGGATAATCATGCTGGAATATTAAGTTACAGCTTCTGGTGCATCCTGCGATTTTAACAAGATTTCTTATGTCTGGCCTTGCAAGGCTCTCAAGACTTCTTATGTTAACGTCAAAACGCAGTACATCTATGGCAAACTAGTACATTGTTTTTTTTTTACTATCTTCTCTTAAATAAATGTGTTTTGCCCGTGCAGTGGCTGGGAATCAACAGATCTTAGTGGTTTGTTTTGCTACACTTTGGATCATTTAATGTTCTTCTCAATATAATGTGAAATCCCTCTTATTTAAGGGCGTATTAAGGGAAAACTTCCTATTGTTCATATTTAACAGAAGTGGAGAAATACACACAGAGATACCTGAAGCAAAGTCGAATGGATGACGAGGAATGGACTCCAGGTACCTGCATAAGAAAATAGAGCAAACTAAAAAAGAGTAATAATAAACCAAAATTATGCAAAGATGTTTATTTTTTTTTAGATTGGAACCTTTTCCCTAAAGAGCTGATGCCCCGAATAAAAAAAACTAAACCTAAAATAGGTATGTCAAAACCATCATAAATGTTATAGTGTCCAATTGGTTGACTCTTAAGACTAAAACTCAAAATGTTTTTCTACAACAGCCACAAAGAAGAAAACTGTGACGAAGTCCCTCAAAGACACTGCGGATGTTTTGAATAAACTGGAGGTAAGCCACCCCTCATTTGTTTGGTCCATCCAATCTCTTTGCATTATATACTTAATTTGCTTCTTGTGTTTTTGGGGGGTATATTTGACAATCTGGATTTTAACTAGAAACTAAACTAAGATTTAAAAAGAGTCCCTTTAATGTGCTCCACTGGTATGAATGTGTGTGTCCTCTGAAGACCCAGATAAATCAGATAATGTAATTGTGCCAGGAACTGGCCAAGAAGGATGACATGAACCCAGAGAAGTCAGATGATGAGACTGAAAAAGAAAAGAAACCTGGAAATGAGGAGGATGAAGACATTGAAGAGGAAGAATATGAAGAAGAAGACATCGAAGAGGTTTGATCATGAATAACCCGAGAGGGGTATTGTGTAAACGTTGGACCGGTTTCCCATGGAGCTGGACTTAATGGTGTCCCTCTGTTTCCATGCAGGACAACGACTACATTGAAAGCTACTTTGACAACGGGGAGGATTTCGGAGCAGGCAGTGATGATAATATGGACGGTGAAGCGACATACTGAGACAGTGTGCTGCACTGAAACCCAAGCACTCTCACTACCATGCTGGTTTACTTTATTTTTTTATTGCAGAGTGGGTTTAATACCGTGATGTGTTGTTTGCTTAATTTATTTTTCCTCTTTAATGCAGCGCATTATGGAGCAATCCTTATTTCTCCTTGTTTCAAAGCAAATATTTGGCTGTTTGAACTGATTAGCTGAAGGATTTACGGATCTGGCCTTCTCCCTCTGCTTTGCCTCAACTTGATATGATACTGCATTTGTTATATTTCCTAAATGAGTGGTTAAAACTCCTTTTTTTAATCCTTTTTGCACTTAATACCCCCTCTTTAGTTACATGGTTTAGTTTAGCATTACAAATAAATTAGTTAGTTTACTTAGTTTAGTCTTTTGTCTCCTTACAAGGGAAACTCATTTACAACATTCCTTTTGACCAGATTGAAGTTGGATATTCCGATTGTCTCATCAGTCATACTGCTAACAGCCTTTCAAAATGAAATGCGGGTAAATGACTGCCCATGAAATTAGTGGGTCTGTTAGACACTTGAAACAGAGGAATGGAATGACAGTGAAGTCCAATCGTTTATGGAGCCTGGGCCTCACAAAAACAGAGTTTTAAACCATCTTTAAGTGACCTCACTATGTTCTGATCTGCTATATCTGTTTCATCGGTTTCAGCTGATGCCTGATCTGGATTGTCCCTAAAGAGGGAGCAGTTGTCAATGAGAGGACGAATTACTAAGAACGCAATGGCCGTTGTGGAACTACAGCTTATTGAATACTACAGTCAGAGCAGAGGCTTTAAAAAGAAGCTAAACATGTGAGCTTGAAAAAAGTATTTTGTTTCCTTGAAAGAATATTGTAAATAAGTAATGCCTAAATATGTACTGAATGTATGAGGAAATGTATTGAAAATAGCTTTATTTATTTATCTGCCCGAGGCACATTTCCACAGATAGAAAGGCACACACTGTAAACATGATATTTTGTCATAAAATATCAAGTCAATGCTGTCAAAATTAAAAGGGCTACAGAAAAACGTCTCGTGGTTCACATAATTACAGCGTCGGCCCGTTTGGGAAGGTTGTGCATCTCTCATATCGCCAACATGCTCTGACAAGTGTATCGGGAGGAAGGACCTACTCCAGATCACTTAACTGAATAATGAGACCAAATATTTATTCAATACTGCGTGTAAATAAACACTGTTTTGTCTTTAAATAAATAACTGACAGTGGTAGAAATATGCTTGTAGGATTAAAAATAAGAGGTTTCTAGCGCAGAAGACGCACTTCAACTAAACGTGTAAAAAGTGCTTTGACACTGGACTAATGGTTCTTTTTCAAACTTCGCTCAGTGTCTCACTGTGGGAAGTGCTGTGTGAGGCTGATGGGATCTCACTCCTTGTAAAATATTTGCTGATGCACCTTCATTTAGATGCAAATATTTGACTCAAAATATGACTGGTAAGGTCAGGAATTCTGAAATGGCCACATTTACTACATCAAAAAAAAAAAAGCAATGTGCTGATATTTCCTTCCAATCATTTTTGTTTTTAAAGAACTGCTCCTACGATCCCCAAAAGAAAACATATTGCACTGCTGTATAAAGTTAAGACTACTTGAAAATAGGAAAAAGAGTTTATTTAGTCTCAGAATTAAACCATTTGGATGGGAAATACTGTTCTGCTATGTTTCCTTAAATCCTTTATTGTCGCTGTCCACTGCATTGTCCAAATCAGGTTTCTCTGGATCTCTGTTGGCCACACGTGCTGGAAAATTCTCTAAATGTTTACTGTCTACAACAGGAAGGTCTCCACTTTTACCGTTGAGCTGTCCTTGATTAAAGTTGCCATTGGCTTGCGTGGGGACGCCGTGATGGCTGACGTCGGACTTCACAAGAACCTCATAATAGAGCAGATAGAAGACGGGTGTGACGATGCCAACCACCAGCATGATGGCCACAGCAGTCCACCATCTCATGCCCCAGTCTGCGCCATAATACGGGTCCTTCCTCTGTGGGGGTTTATACTCCTCTCCCAGCAGCGGCTGCTGCAGCGTTAAGGAGGACACAACCTCGTTGAGGCTGCTCCGGGAGGGTCCGGTGGACTTCACCAGCTGCTCTATGTCCTTGTCCTTCTCCAGCAGAAATCCTTCTACACTGTCGGTAGAAGATGAGGAGTCTGTGGAGGACTCTGAAGGGAGCGAGGCGACAGATGCGGCGTGGGGCCCACGCACTGCCGGGGGAGAGGCTGATTTGAGAGGACCCGTGTTGTGAGTCTCTGTGAGGACACTGAAGCGCCTCACAGGAATCTTCACCGAGCGGAGAGCATAGAAGTCCTGCTCCGTCAAGAGGTTGTTGGCACGTTTAATGTCAGCCACCTACAAATCACAGAGCAGAGAAAGCAGCTGTCAAACAGCACGGAGTTCGAAAATGACTGATCTCCTAAATGGTCAGTCTGCCTGCAGCTTCTGTGCTTCTTTATAAGGAAACGTTACATGTTTTTCATTGCATTATTCTTCCTGTTATCTTCACACAGTGCCAGGAAGGCATTCGCTGCTGGTGACTACGATTCATAAGCCTGTTTTCTGAAACGCGTTTGGACTCGACTCACATTTTCTTGTTGCTTCCCTTTTGTTGTTTTGTTTCTTTTTTTCTTGGCTGACCCCAGGCGCTAAATGTACAACAGTTTAAGACATTTGAGAGCCCTCCACTCTGATGGAGCCACTTCAGAAATACATGAGTGGCTTTGCCTCATGGCTTTGTCACGCTTGATTCATTGAGTTATCTCATAAATAACATATGCACGCACAGTATCCTTGAGCCACCTCTTATTCTTTGATCTTTGCTAAAGAAACAGGAAATAATTGCAGTAACTTAGTGCAATATGTAAACAAACTAAAATCCATATGTAATATGTATTTAATATGCATGTAACAGTTTGTACAATTCTACCGAGCTAAGAAATTTGGTGCAACCACCTTTACTCCTCAACCCTGTCTGAACCTTATTCGACAAGATTTCTTGTCACTAGTCTTTCTTGTGTCCATTGTACAGCTGTACCATGCTGTGGAATTTAGGAAAAAATTAAAAAATTAAAAAAACTCTCCCACACACAAGCTAGGGCAGAGATGTCCTCCCTTTTTTGCATAAAAGCTTTAGATGTTGCATTTATAATGGTCCATTTGTCTTTCTGTACAGTTTGGATGAAATAATATTAACCTGTACTGTTTATGTGGCATAATAAGAGGAATTAAAAGTTTGCAGGGAAGCAGATCAGGATTCCAGTGCATGTTGCCCAAAAGTAGAGCGAGAAGAAAAACTTACTGAGCAATGGTACTGCAGAGCAATGCCGTTTAGGGTGTCCCCCTCCTGGATATCCCTAGTAAGGTAGATAATATCATCCAGTCTCTCTCTGGAGGTGCTCTTCCGTAGCCTCTCTCTTCCACGTGGACGTAGCTCAAAACTCTCTCCATCCTCTTCTGACAGGTCATTCTCTGAACCATTGTTTCCAAATAGGTATGCATGTCCTCCGTTGGCAGACTGCACCATGGTGGCCGACTGGAACCCATAGTGCTGACTTCTGTTGGCCATTTTTCTGCGCTACATGGGACAAGCAAGTAAATATGCTTGAGATAAAGATTTCTCGTGAATGTTTTTTTGTAATCACAGTAAATGGGATCTTACAACTTAAAACTAAATTGAACATTTCTGAGCAAATAAAACTTGATTCCACGTGTGAAAGCAGCACAATCTTTTAATGAAAAAGATTCTACTTGTCTGGTAACAACATTTGGTTGCCTGCACACATTTAAAAGGACAAACTTCAGGTATTGTTCCGGGCATTAGAATCTTAGCAGATAGGCTGGATAAGATGCCATGGTCTTCTGTTATGTAACCTTTGTACTTTCTTACCCTTTGCTCTGCTGTGCCATGAATCACAGTGCGGTCCCTTTTCAAATAACGTTACCTAACTTCTTCCGTTCTCAGAACAACTGCGTCTAGCAGTTGTCTTCAAGTTTAAACTTACAGACGATCGCCGATAAGAATAATGTTAGCTATTACTCAAAATAATCGACCAGAAACACACAGATCATCTTTCAATCGGGGAGTGATTGGCGCTACCAGAGTTGTGCTGGTTCAAACGTAGTTTACGTAGATAAATTAGGCAACTGTCACCCTCATTCTCTCACGCCACTTAAGTCGGGTGTTTGGATAAATAATAACACTCGAGTCAAACCCTTCTCTTAAAATATTGAATAAACTGTCATTTGACTTCAAATTAGCATGTAAAAATAACAACCCGAAGTTTCCAATTGTTTGGACTTTCACTATCCAACTACGTGAGCGGACTGAAACCCAGCTGCTTAGGAAAAGCTAGTGCTAACTACAGTCCACATACGATTATTTTTCTAACATTGATAGGATTTGCAGTGGTCTAGTGGACAGTGGTCAAAAAGTCGCACGAACCTTTTCATACCTGAAAAATGGGACACCTTACGGTCACTTGCCCTCCACAATTTCCATAACTCCTGTGGATTATCTTCGATCTCACCTTGTCGTCGGCTTGTTACCCACTAGCTAGCTTCTGTTCCCAGTGCCCAAGCCACGTCACCAAAGTATTTACGTAATGACGTAATTATCGACGAGTCGAGCACAGTTCACCACTTTAACGCGAGATGGCGCCAAAGGTAAACGTAGTCACAATTTTAACACCTGGTAGAAAATATTACTAGCCATATAGTTTAAGTTGACCACTATATTATTGTTCAAACCTTTTTTTATGCCATGGGCAGAAATAATGTAAACAGCGCATCTATTCAAGTAGTTTCTTAGAATAAATAAAAAAACGTTTAACTATTAATGTTCTCAAATGTATGAAAGATATTAATCAATTGGCTTTGAACAACCGGAGACAGCGGTGCAGCTCGTCAGCTCCACAAGGTGAGGCTGTTGGCCAGCGAACGGCCCTCCGCGGTGCGAATCCCTGAGAGACAAATGGGATTAAAATATCTTGTCTCATTAGGCAGCGACCGCGAGACGACTTGAGTCTCTGAGTAGCTGCAAACTAATCTTTGTGTTCGCGCAGAGAGCCGTGCTCGTACAGCGGCAGGAGCTCCCGCACGGGACCGGAGTTTGGAGCAGACAGACGGGGGTTTTCAGTCCCGTTAGATGACACGCGCGCCTCATCCCCTGCACATCTCCGGAAAGTAAAAACAAAATAAAACAAAAGAAGAAGAAGAAAGATAGACGCTTAGTATATTCAGTTCAGGCGCTTTACATAAAAAATAATGCAGTTATTTCTTGCCGCTGTCTGAGAGGAGGTGGACTGGACAACCCTGGGAGCCTTCACCGATGTTATCCTCAGAAATAAAGATATTATTGTAAACTATCTCGGACCGAGAGGCCAAGCAAGGTGTCAGGTAAGGTCAGACGATTTATGTTATGGCTTTGCCTGTACGTGTCGCTCATATGTTTTATTGTGACTAGTATCCAGAGTGGCTGTTACAGAAAATTAAACAAAAGTTTGTGCTATTTATTAGACAGAAAGACACGAGGATGCAAACGGACATGTGGCTTTGTGGCAAACTGTTTTAGCTTCTTGGGAGGACGTGGATTTGTGTTATGGTCGAGTCAGATGAATGGTCGGTGACTCGAGCCTCTTTTGTCAGTTCTAAAATAATAGTACAGAGAATGAAAGAAACAAATGAGTAGCGATACTCCTCATCAATTATGCCAGACAGCTCATGCAGACGCATTGTGTAAGACTATAAGAAAACGATTAAAAGTGGTTGGCCACAGCTAATTTCTTTTTGAACGGTGCCAAAAATCCCCCCCTGAAGCAGCTAATAAAATTGAAAAGCCTAAATATTGATTCAGCGCAATCAGTAAATGAATGGCCGGGCAGTCCATTGAAGACGGAGACAAACGCTTCCATGGTTACATCCAGGATCTCCAGTGTGATTACGGCGCTTTGTGTGGGTTTTCTCTCTCACACTGAAATAAAACAACTGCCACACATGGAGAGCTGGGGAACCTCTCGTAAAGGCTCCATCGGCAACTCTATAGGCTTACTCGGCCCATAAGTAATCTTGGCACACTTTGAGTTGCGCACATGTTCAGCTACAGTTAAATCAACCAGCCCAGCCTATGGCCTCATTGTGCCGCTGTCTTTTCGGGCATTGCACCCGTCCGGGCTCCATAAATTACACTAGTTGATATCGAGACCTTGAGTAATGGAATATGTGCTCCTTATCTCTAATTGATCTGACATGATGTCATCTCGGTGCGTCCCTCGCAAATCTCTTTTGTGTCCTCCTCCGCGGTGCCTCAGCAGAGTTAAATCCTCTCTTTCACTGGGGAGGGAGGGAGTTGTTTCTGTATCCATTCAGCAGATACACCTGCCACTTCTCAGCAGCAGCCTCCCCTGTTGTCTCTCAAATATAGATCTCTTGGAAGAAAGGATAATGCTATTGCTAAATATGTTTCTTTGTCTGTATTTTAAGACCCAAAGAAGCGGCAGAACATGCCAGAAAATCCTACGTTTTACACTCTTAATCTTACAGTTGTATGAGGCTATGCTCTATGTGTTCCACATTCCAAACCCACATGTCACACCAAGTTTGTTTTTGTAGTTTCAGATCCTTTAAGATCCTCACTTGCTCAGAGCTGGGCTCCTTTGTTTGTCAGTGTTTATGTCATCGCCTGGCAGGGGTCAGCCCCCATTCGCCCCAGTGAGGGTCTGAATGTGATTCACTGGGCGGAAACTGTTTTACTGCCTGCTTCTCTGCCCATCTGTCTCCCCCCCCCCCCCCCCCCTATGCTTGCACGGTACAAAAGGGGGCTGTGCCCTGAGCGGACCCTGTTCTCTCTGAGAGGTGCTGAAGTGTTGCACGTTGCAGACAGGAGGAGATCGGTGTTCAGTAGGGATGAGAGAACTTGCATTCTGACTGTGTGGCCATAGAGGGAAATACGGGATGAAGGCTGGGCTCCGCAACAGGCTCCTCTGACGGAGCTCTGTGCCACGGACTCACTGTTGGGGGGCCACTCTTTGTTGAATGGGAGACATTTGTGTTACTGAACTCAGAGTCGGTGTGTTTTGAGTCATAGTCTGCATAAACTTAGATTTGTGGTTCTATTCAGTATGGGAATTGTTCAGTATTCACGTGTCTTGCCATATATTTTGTTTTTCTTAATAGTTATTTTGTGTGTTTTTGCTCCCCTAACTGTGTGCCTTGCATAATTTTTCCACAACATGGCAAGCAAACCTTAACATTATTTGTTATGTTGTAATTTCCACAGCTTTAGAGGGCAGCTATTTCCTCCAGAAAAGTTCATAATCCTGTCATGCAAAACAATCCTCACGTAGACCTTAAAACTTTGACAGATGCAGGCGAAAGCTGCTCAACTGGGACTGTTTTATTCACAGTTTAAACTCATACTTTCATACAAGTATAATTAACTGAGATTGAATCTATTTTTTCAAAATTAGACGTGAGTTTGCTGCCACCTCTTTCAGAATATTACAGTATGTAGATTCCATTTGTTGCTTTTCGGTGATGAAGCCAGCAGTAAAAAAAAACATGACATTTCAATTAAAAATGAGAAAATGAGAGACTTTTGTACTAGTCTGGAATGTGAGAAAAATATTTATAATGCTGAATGGGATTATTTGGTGTAATGTCAGTAAATTCTGTATTAGCTGATTTTGGATTTAGTAAATGGGAAAAAATTGATTAATAAATGTAATGCTTAAAATAATTCCTTTGAATGAGTTTTAGTTCTGTGTTTTGAACATTTATTTGACAGTTGGTGTTTGTGCGCAGCAGTATCATGTTGTTGGAGCAGGGAGACAGGAGAGCCGTGCTCTGTCAGCTGAGGCCAACAATCCTAAGGCCTCTTTAGCGGGCCTGACTAACCACACATTGTTCCCAGTGAGAGGATTCTGCCACCACCGCCACTGGAAATCCTTGGCCGTGACCTCACTGTCAACTCACATAATCCCACTGGGATATACATGCGTGCATGTACATGCGCATATGCATGCGTGTTGTTAAATCCTGTTTTCTCTAAAGACAACATGGAGCAGTCAGACGTCTGCTGAGCATATCCATCTCAGAAGTAAAGTTTCATTTAGCCCTCTGGGATGAGAGAGGTCAGTATCAGGGCCTTTTACTGTCCCGATACATGTCCAGACTCCCTACCAAAGCACGCTCACTGCGATGCTGCTGTGTTCTGCTGTTCTTTGATGCCATTCTGTAAACGTTCAGACACCCACATGGGTGCTTGCGTCTGGCCATAAATCCCCAGGAGCTCCACCCCACGTGGAGCTTGTTGACTTTCATTATCTCAACTGTTATCTCCATCCGTCACTTCTTAGCGTTTTCAGTTCACCGTCCTTCATGTTGGTTTGCTATTTTCAAAACTATCATGCAAAACTTAAATCTCAAGCTCAACTCTACCAACGGTCTCATTATACGCATAGTTCCTTTTTTCTTTTCAAGGGTCTTTGTTCAGCTTACATTTCCCTCATTGAGCTGCTATTGGGTTTGCAGAGGAATTCAATTAGTAGATTTCGTTGGTTGATTTGAATCTAGATGAGTTTTAGTTGAGTTTTTGTTGTGAAAAGGTGCTGAAATCCATTTTTCTTACTTCTGTAATAAAAGCGTTTGAAGCATTTGTATAAAGTTGAGAATTAAAGAAAGGTTCAGATAACAGTTAAACTGTGGTCATTCAAAAGCTGGGTCCTTTTATATCCTCTTTTAGGATCTAAATGATCAATTAGAATAACTTTTATTGTTCTTATATGGATAAATTACTGGCAACGACAGTTGCAATTAAGTCTAAGAGTCCATTTTCTGCATTGAATTTCAGTGATATAAAGTTTATTTGTTGAAATAACATCCATTCTGTGGTAACAAATGTCTCTACTCTGAACTGATATTTATTCAATTATTGATTTTTGAGGAAATTATGCTTTGGTGTAGGATTATTTTTCCTATTTGACAGACTGTCCATATGGTTAAATGAGTAAGGGACACATCTTGAGGGTGTCTTGGCCTCCAAATCTTTGGACGTTTTGCTAAGATCCATCAGCTTAAAAACATGAGAACAGTTGTTTGATCATTATATTGTCTTTCTGAATATAAACTGAAATAGATCTTGATTTTTAAGTATGCCGACTGCAGCCAGAAATATTCCACTCAGACCTAAATTCTTTCATCTGGATGGTAACTCAATAAAATTTCTCCACTCTTTTCTTTATTTCAGTGGGAAGTCCTCAATGCTTTACAGCCCCAACCATGATGTTTCAAGTGGATTTGATTTCTAACCCTAAACAAGTGATGTTATATTCTAAACCATCTAGAAAGTGACAGTGTCTAATCATTCCCTGTTTTGTTTTCACGTAACTATGGCAACTGGCTAAATTGCATCCATGCCTGATGGTACATTGAATAAAGACATTTTGACCTAACCAACATCATTATCTCAACCTCAGGCAATAATGATACAAAAAAACAAACAAATGTGTTTTTGTAAAGTGTTGTTTTGTGTAATTATGTTTTTTTTTACGTAGATCTCTATATCATGTCCCACAAAGACCCCTGGTAGATAGTGCAGTACTGTGAACAAATGGTGCTGGCAACCATTTCTCCTGGAAAACTTTGGGGTT